CTGGGAATCCAGAACTATGAACTGGATGTGACTTATACTTGAGTCATACAACCTTTATCTGAATAGATACGCGTGTATGTGGGTGTATGCAAACCTCTGCACAAAGTGTTGATTGACATGATTGTGTCACATTGGGACATGAGCTAAACCTGACTTTAGTCAAGTGTGCTTCATAACACCATTTCTTTTCTGTTTTGGAAGCTTAAGTCATTTAATTGTCTCATACCATAAAGGATCCTTTATCCTAATTTTAAACCTAGGTATGACTACAATGTATGTAATTAGATGGATTGAAGATGGATTCAATTTCTCAGACCATAATAACCGATGGAGAAAGGAGAATAGATAGGCTTGACCATTTGGATATGGAAAGTGTCTCTGCCCTTAACTACTTCCTGCTTAGTACAAAGGGAATAAAGGGAAGATTAATAATTGTAAATCATCTATTTTTAGAAGACACCTTTCTATAGTTAAATTTATTTTAAATTCACAGCTTAAATTTTCTATTAACTAATCATGTAATTTTTCTGTGGTTTTTTTAATCAGTATTCTACATTTCATTTTTTATTTTCTATGATTTTAGAAGAAAAGAGAACTGATTTAAAAGGCAACAACAGAAAACAGATTAATATAATTAAACTTAATTGAAGAGTAAACATAGTGTAATTGCTAGAATGACAATATTTCAAATTTTATAATGAGAATCTAGTTTGCATATTTATATTTATTACTCTCTTAATGAAGATGAGAGATAAAGGCACCAAGTGGCTGGGACTGCATAACACAAACAGCTGGGGCTGGGTTTCAGGAGTGGGTATTGTGAGAAGAGGTTGTTTATTTCTTAATTGTGATGTGCCTATTTTTAGAGCTTGCAATAATGTATTTTATGTAGTTTTAAACATTGTGGCCAGAAGAAACTATGAAAAGACCTTTTGCCCTTTTGTGAGAAAGAGTGGCAAAAGTTTAGCAAGGCACAAATGGTAAACAGTATGAATGTCTGTGCAGTGCAGTTTCTGGGCAAAAAATAAATCCAATCAAAACAACCAAAGGAAACTGAGCTTATCTTTTTAAAAAAATATATCTATTGCAATTACTATAGAGTACGGCTATTCTTGGATTGCTTTTTTCTGTATTTGTATTTAAATTTATCACTCTAGAAACATCTTCTAACATGTTGGTTATATCTAATTTACTCTATTTCAAGAATTTAAAAAAAGTCATATTACATCATTCAAATGCTTAAAATTATCAAGATCATTTTTTTTCTAACTTGGTTCCTATTTTTAGTACCTTCCAAAGTGGATTTTTTGAAGAAAAAATTATGTATAAAACTATTGGAACAAAAACTGGATTTAAAAAAATGTTTAGTTATCTGTGTATTATGAGGCTCCATGTTATTCCCATGCAAATCAGCCCTGAATATATCTTTATGTTTTTGATCTTTATAAAAGTACCTTCATTTTCTCTCTAGTAATCATGTTTATACATTGTACCAAGCCAATATATATTTTGGTAATATTTTGTTGAATAAGTAATTACTATTAAATAAAATGATTACTATAAGTAATTACTATTTAGGTTTCACTAATATATTCATTATAATATGGAATATAAGAGCATTAGCTGACTATAAAACTATTTCTCTTTTCGTTAGGCATTCCAGAGTAATTATAGAGTAATATTTTGTCTCTTCAATCTTACTTGACCAGAATCAGTTCAGAGAGGCTGTTTTGAACAGCAATTCATATGGACCGATATGATGTTAACACCTATGTATTGCTGATGGAGAGCAGTTTCATTTCCTTAAAATATATTGCACATTAGGTTTATTGCAAGAAAGTTGCATAAGACTTTTTCAGTAGGATGAATAGAGCAGACAAAGAAACAACAGACTTCCTTTACAAAACTATAGGTAGGGTTTTTGTTTTTTTTAACTTTTCCTTCATGCCTCCAATCCAGCTCAACTTGGACATTTGTGAGGTTAAATATTTCTGTGTACAATTTTCTGGAAGTGTTAGAAAGAAACAGAAAACAAATCTAGGAACAACTAATTGGTGAGTTGTTGATAGTCCATTTCAATCTGAAGTCCATGTGTGACAGTAAAGGAAAGCTGCTAGCATCAAAGCAGGAACTCTGTGTTTTACATTCATTTGCCTTGTAGTCCCATTTTCTCTCCCACCTGGATCACAGTTTGCAGAGTTAGGATCATGATTCTTTTCCATTTGGGACTTTCCCCATATGTTCTTATTTCACATCCAGATCTGAGGCCACTTATGATTCTTTTCAGCAATTAGAAAGTTATCACAGAGTCCCATTGTGCTAGAAAGACCAGTCACCACCTGCCAAAACCCTGGTTTCAGACTGGACAAACATTGTGATCATACTGACTCTTTTTCCATCTGGGATAAATTAAGGGATAATGCAATATACAGGTAGAAATTGCTTTTGATTTTCCTACATCGTATTCAATCTCTCTTCCCATTGGCTAAGCACTTTATTTGTATTTATTGATGGTGATGTATCACAGATTTAGTGTCTATGTCAGTATCACATTTCTACATGACTATGTTGCTTACATAATTTTTGAATAGCAATACTTTCCCATTAATATTTCAATGCATCAACCAAAAAATACACTCAATTCTTTTCAGACACATTCTAATTAGTGAACTGCTTCTAACTCACCATCTGGATTTTTGTGCATTTTTTAAAAAATAAACTCAATATGAAAATAATGCTTTCCCCTTCCCCAAAGTATTTCAGGATTTCTGTTATAAAACTGAAGCTTTAAAAGTTACTATTAACTCATCTGACAAAACTTGTTTCTTGACCACTATTTTAGTTCATAGACTTATTCTTACTCTTCCCACAGTATCTTAGTTCAGAGTGAATGGAGGTAAAGAGATGATAATTTATTCTGTCAGCAATCTGGAGGAATGCTGTTGCAAACAGCACTTTATAAATGGGTTACATAGCTTTCACTTCATTTTTTTTTCAGTGATATAAAATTTGTGAGAAAACATGATCCACTTTATAGATTTAATCTAATATCATTAATAAATGAATAATGAATTGAAATAACAGACATGATCTCTTCCCTGCAAGTGGCTTTTCCCCATTTAATAAAAAATTGCCTTTTAAGTCCATGAAGAACTTCTCAGCTTGCCAGTTTAATAGAAAGCTGTTTATTATTGGATAATTCGGATCTTTAAAACTTAAGATCATTGTTTATGACATGAAAATCTAAATGTTATATGACAGAAATGTTTTAGGACGTTGACTTGAAAGTTTGAGAATTTTCCAAGAATTGAACTTTGTCTTAGATTTAGAAATGTAAATTATGTAGAAATGTAATTTAAATGGTACAAAAGATTGTCGTAATTGGAGAATAAATCACAATCTTACAAAGCTTTTTTTTTAAAGCCGAGAATGCATATTAATCAAATCTAAGTAATAAGGCATTGGAGGGGGGGGGAAATAGAGAGTTAATCAGGAGGCAGAGGATGGTGTCACCATGGCAATCTAGCTACAGTCTGGTTTATAGGGTTCTTCTTCCAAAGTAAGAAGGATCTTTATCAAAATGTATGAAAATTCATGCTATATAAATTGCATTATATACTGCAACGAAACTTACAGTGAAAGAGAAACGACTATAGAGAAATTATATTCTAATTTATTTTGATCTAAGCCCAAATGACAGTGCATCATCGTGTAATGTCATGCTACTACATGAATCGGATGGACGCTTTCTCTCACCTCCATTCCACAGGGGGAAAAAAATGTGTATTCCTTGGCCAAGCGGTATTAATCATTTCAGATCTTTTTAAACATGAGACAATATACGTATCAGAGTTTGTGGGCCTATCGGGGAGACCATATATTGGTTTTGCTGAAAGTTCAGCTAAATAGACTTCAACTTTTGAACTCTGAACTTTGTGATTTGTCAAGTAGATGATAAAAATATGATTTTCTAAATGTGCTAGATGATGAGTACATTTGAACGGTCTTAACAGGCTTAGATTTTAGTCTTATCCTTGACTGTAAAACTCTAAAGTGAGATACTATATACAATGGATTAATTTCGAGATATTTTCAATGCTATAAAAATATATGACAGACTGAGATGTAAACTGTAATTTTACATCTCCTGTAGACTCTAAATGCACGTTTTGGCTTTTGTCACAAGAGGGCAGTATCTGTATTTTAGATACACTTTATTTCACGAGTATTACTTTCAGTGTATTAAAATATTTATTGTGGCTAAAACGAATAATCCTACTTGATTTATAGCATTCATTATTTTGATGTAATCATCTGCATTCACAGGCCTGTCAAACTGGCGGCCCGCAGGCCGGATACGTCATGTGCAGGCCAGGTCTGCCCCAGCTCCGCAAAGGGAAAAAACGTCACAATATATCAGGAGCTGGCTGGTAACGCGATCGAGTTTGACACCGTGATCTACAACAGTGTTTCTCAACCTTGGCAACTTGAAGATGTCTGGACTTCAACTCCCAGAATTCCCCAGCCAGCATTCGCTGGCTGGGGAATTCTGGGAGTTGGAGTCCAGACATCTTCAAGTTGCCAAGGTTGAAAAACACTGATCTACAAGATACCATCTATAATTATTAATACATTTGTGTGCTACTATAACATTTTGTGGATTGTTTCTTTTAGTTTCAGAGGTTTGAGCTGAGAAGTCAAGAATACTGTAGCATCAGGGCATAGCACAGAAGAAGACTCAAGCCAATGGAAAATAACCGCTTGCAAATGCAAGACAGGCCCACTAAGAATATGCTCCTTGTGGGTATTTAAATATATAGTCAGCAATGGATGGCTGATCAAAAAATAAAACTTTTTTCATTTTAATTATTAACCATTTTCTCCAGCTCATGAACAAAGATAATTGCAATATTAAGATTAAAATAATAACAAATATTTGATTTTATTTTTCTAAAGAAAATTGTTCAATTAATATTGTTATGGTTGCTTTTTTATTTTAGATGTCCAACCCCCGGTTGTGATGGCTCTGGACACATTACAGGGAATTATGCTTCACATCGAAGGTATGTACAAAAGTGAAATTCATTATGACAGCAGTTTCCAAGAGAAAGACACTAACAGCAAGTGTTTTCAAGTCATAAGATCACTTTCCTACAGATGCTGTGCTTAATATAAATTCATAGCAGATACAAAACAGCAATTAAGGTCATCATAACAATGATTAGATCTCCAAAACAATTCAGCATTCAGTTCCAAATAATTAATTATACTTTAAACCATTAAGGTCTAATATAGTACTAAAGCAAAATCACAAATAATTTACCTACTTAGCAAATATTACTAGCAAAATAAATTAAGATGCCAGTGTAATAGATTCTTAAATGTTGCGTATTCCCACATCAGATACAAAAAAATTAGCAACAACCAATTAAAATGCAGCATAGATTCTAAAGTGCTTGAATCAGAAATAAATGATAAGGTAAACATTTCCACCATAGTTATATATCAGTAAATAATCTGCTGCCTGTTTTATAGAGTGCCAAGTATAGAATATAGAAATAATATTCATACAAATACCAATATGGAAATGTGTTCTGACCCCCCTCTTTGCTCGTTCAGAAACGACAGCCACACACAGCTTGCAAAGGAATGTCTTTATCAGTCCCGGCTTTTGCTGGCTGCAAGCCCAAAATAAACATAGATAAATTCTCTGGCAAAAAGCTAAACAGCAAATGCAAAAACAAACTCTCACAGCAAACCAGGTTTACATAAAGCAAATCACTTATCCAAGTGCTTCTTTGAATCATGAACACGAACTAGAACAGGAACAGAATGGAACTAACGAACGGAACGAATGACGTTGACTTCTGCAACTAAGGCGTGGCACCATCAGTCTTTTATCCACAGGAGGAGATCCTTAACAAGCCCCAGCTGCTTGTTATCTTCTCCTGTGAGCATCCTGAAACCACTCACAGAAGATTTCCCTGTCAGTCTGATAGCAGCTCCAAAGGTTCCTACCGAGCCACAACAGAAATGTATAGGTGAAAATGGATTAAAAGTTAATTGAGGGACTATATATATTAAATCTAAGTTTTCCCCAAAACCAGGTTGCTAATTATTAAAAAACAAAGAGAGAATAGCAATATGTGGGCAGTTTTCTAAGTGGCAAAAGTAAGAACTTCTTAAGAATTAGTTTTGGGACCAGTGCCTTTTATTTTCTACATTCGTTTCCTGATTTAGCTATAAAGAGTAAGCTGGCTATATTTGCAGATAATAGTAAATTAATTGGGGCAATGGAAACCAAGCATGATCGTGAAGAGCTTCAGAAGAATCTCTTTAATACTGGATGAATGGTCAATTAAATGAAAATGTAGTTCAATTGTATTTGTACAATTGAACTACAGATTGGAACCTCCCTGCCCTGCCCCAGGAGATAGGATAGAATTTGGGGGGGGGGGGAATCAGAAAAAGATGTTCATTCATTATGTAGCAGTTGTAAAAGACAAATTCAGTGCTAGCAATCATTAAGTTTGGAAATGAAACTGGAAACCTTGTAATGCTGTTATACAAATATATGCTACATCTGCATATAGAATACCATGTAAATACTACATTTGAAAAGTACAGAAGGAAAACACAAGAATCAGAGATCTCAAACACTTGCTTTATGTCAAAAGTCCACAGCTTAGGACCACAATTGAGCCCAATTTTTTTTTGTTAATGTCTGTTGAGACATTTGTTAAATGAGTGTTTCCCAATTTTACTCTTTCCTTGTGACAGTTGTTAAATGAATCATGTTGGTTGAAAGGTAGTAATTTCATTGTTAAGTCAATCTGCCTTCCCCATTGATTTTGTTTGTCAGAAGATCACAAAAGGTGATCACATGATCCTGAGACATAGCAAAGGTTATAAATATGAACCAGTTGCCAAGCATCTGAATTTTGACCACATGATCAGGCAGATACTGCAAAGGTCATAATTATGAAAAAAGGGACATTGTAATTTTGAATGATCACTAAACAAACGGTTTTAAATTAAGGACTACCTGTAGTACATTTGGAACTCTATAGCTTAGAAAAAAGGCAACAAGGAATGGCATGTTTAAGGATATAGAGTTAGAGAAACAGGAAAAGGTTTTGTATTTCCTTAAAACATGAGGAAATTCAGCCACCTGATGAAGTTAACTGGAAAGGACAATTTTTTTTTCATCTATCTACTATATAATTTACCTGTAAAATTCATTAGATAAAGTGATAGCCACTGACTTGGACTGTTTAAAAGGAGATTGGATAATTCCATGGAAAATAGATCTATAATTCTTGGAAGTTAATTTTATCTCTAGGAGGAGTAAATTATATACTGTATTCCTCTTTTGGTTATGAGCACCCCAGAGCTTCAGGCTGGCCACTACAGGAAACAATGATCTGGCATTGCTGTTCTTATATTCTTGCTATATATTTTTTGAAAACCCAGAGGACTACGGAAAGCTTCTGCCAATTGACTTACATTCCAAATATTTCATTAGACTTCATTAGATATATGTTGCTTGCTGTAGAGTCTTTCTTGAGCACATTCGTCTGAAGGAGCCAAATATGAATGTATAGATCTGCCTTATTTATACAATTCATAAACATTATTTGCTAAACTCATTCATTAGTGATTAGGAGAGATTAGGAGGGGCAAACAATCATTCCATATTGTGACTCAGGACTTTAGGAATTTTGATTCTTTATTATGTTTAAAATCAAGAACCCCTCATTAGCTAAGTGTATATATTTTTATGTATCACAGGGCTATGATAGAATAAAAACGGTGTTTCTGGGTCAGATAATAATTAGAATGAAATGTATTTATCTCCATTCAGCATCATTTGCTGACTAGAGTGGAATAACTAATATTGTGCAGATGTCGCATAAAAGGATTTGCATTCCTAGACATGGAAGAGCTTAACCCAGATGCTGTATTGCCCAGTTAATTTCTGGTTCATTTCATGTGTGGCACCTTTCTAATTTATTTACTCATTTTATAAACAGTAGGGTTTTTATATTATTTTAAGACATATGTGGAGGGCTACTTAAACTGTACTTGCTCTCTCCACAAAATATATTGACTATGCCTGTAAGAAGTTTATATGTTTATGGACTATGAGAATCTGCATTTTGCTTGGAACTGGATTATACCCACAAGCTCAATAGAATTGCTCCGGCACAGTCAATGTGCAGAAATTGGGTGAAGTGGCATGTTGAAAGGGTTTATTTGGATTGCTATGAAATCCTTGAATTCCTTCATATGGAAGAGTTTGATATAGATGCTTCCTTTGTATAAGAAATCCAATTTAACTTCAGTGGAAAAAAAACAAGTACTAGGAATATATTTTGAATTTATAGTAGTGATGAATATTCACTTACAAGTAAATTTCTTATATTAGGATAAAGGTTGGCATTAATGAAAAAGTAATACATTTACAGGTTTTTTTTTTACTTTGTGGTTTAGAGATGAAGTGGTTGGCAAAGGAAGAATACTTCACAATCCTAGAAAATTATGATTCAATTATACTAACTGCAAACTGTACATAACTTTCTGATTTTCATGATTCAGAGTTCTCTGAAAATCAGCATTGTTCTCATTTGAGATTTCATTAAAAAATAGCTATTCTTTTCTTATTACTCTTTAACTTGAGCTTATGTTCACTTCTAATGAAAGATGAGTTCCCTCTTGTGGTTAATTCTTGCCATTGTTCTTTCATTTAAAAAGAATAAAAATGTTGAAATCAAAGGTAGAAAGAACTTAACCTGCATGTCATTTTTATTCAGTGTGCATTTTTTTAGATTAGTTGATTATGTTTAGAAATAAATAATTTCATTGATTTTCTTTATTCAGCCTTTCTGGTTGTCCACGAGCAAAGAAAAGTGGGATTAGAATAGTACAAAGTAAAGAAGACAAGGAAGATCAAGAGCCAATTAGGTAAGTATGGACAGCTATATATGATTTAATCAACTATGTCGGTTTTCTTCTTATAGTCGAATGATACTGCTCTCCCCTATGTATGCGTTTTGGTCTTTTTTAAGCTTATGTATCTATATAATTAGGGTTATCTTGTTCAATTTCTTATCATATAATTCTACCAAATAATAAACAAGAGAGTTACCCAGTACAAGCTAGAAGAAACTTGTTTTAGTAAAGAAGTGTATCATATTGGAATGTTATCCAGTAACACAATGTATTCACATATTTTTCATGCCTGGTCATGAGACGGAATATTTTTTATGTACAAATGTTTGTGCATCATGTGTTGACATCTCCATCACCCCACACACATACACCATTTTTATATGTCCAGGAAGGAGTTTTATAATGTAGCAATTACAAAAGCACCATTAAAAATACAGTGAGAAAGATAAATATTGAAAATAGGACGATGTTTCTTCAGGTGACAGAATACTGAAAATTAAATTACATCGATACTGTAATTTTTAGAGCAATCCTAATTATTAGGGCAACGCTGTGATTCAGAATGAATCCTGAATGTGACGCTAAATAACATTCAGGCATCACATTCCTGGGGCCTCTTTTCACTTACCAGAAACATCTTACTATACAAATTGTTCTAAAGAACATCGCGTGAACTCCAATTTGAAGCTCAAGAAGTCATCCTGGGAAAAGCAGGGTGTCATGTGCACACACAGGAGAAAAAATGGGGGGGTTACAGTAAAATAGACCTTGATGGACTGGGTTCAACATTCTACCTTCAAATCAGTGCGTTTGATGATGGATTACCCAGCTGAACTGTTTGGAGGGCCAAAAGGGAAATAAATGTGTATATATCTTCACAGTCATGGCTATCCGATTTCACTGTAGTTCAGATATGCTTTTTTAGAATTCTTCATCTGTTCCCATGTTTCCTTGGACCTCATTCAGTCAATTTGTTTGTTCTATATCTTTCATTTCTTTTATCTTATTTCAACATGATGAATGTTAAATTTGAGATAGACGTCTATAAAAATTTAAATATCTACATACAATTTCCCAGTTTAGTTAGTCCTTCTCTCTCAATAAGTAATTTATTGTTCTATATAAGCTTCTTTTTAATTGTACAAATAAATGTAATGCCTTATTAGTTATGTCTCTTCCTGTGTCTTTTTTCGGTTCCTAAGCAATGTTGTCCCACCATCCCATATTTAATAGGGAATGTCACCCCACTACTTTTTCAGTTTTCTTATACTTTATTTCTGTCCTGCATCATTTATAATACACCTGCTATGTCCTAAGGGAATATCTGACTCTTATTACAAAGAAAAGCTATGCTTATTTGTCCTGGCTAGGAATCCAGAAGGTTGCAAGAAGAGAAATAATGGTCCTGTCACCATTACATCCTTAGTCCAATCATGATTTTAACAGAATGAAGAAAAGTTGTTTTATGGCAATAGTGGAAGAAGTAGTTGGTGTTTGCAGCAAAAGAGGATTTTCTACACGAAGGACTCTGTCATGGATTTTTGCTCCAAATCTAGTGTTTCACTTGGTCTTCCTAAGGGTTAACCTCTTACTACCCAACTTTCCCAACCATTCACAGTGAGAACCAACCAATCATCACTCCAGAGCCACAGCTGATGTGTCTTCTGTTTTTTTCCACCTGGGATTCCTTTGATTTCAATTTTTGTTAAATCTTTGGTTATTTTGTCAAGATCAGGAGTGATGTTCTTCTCAATAACTGCCTCCTCCTGTCTGGTTTGCCTATGCTCAGAGTCTCTTTGGCTGCCATATTACATGCCAGCGTCTTAGTGTCAGCCTACCTCCTCAAGGAAAGTTGTTTTTCATTGCTGCTTAACTTTCCCCTATTTAAAATCTATCAGCATCTTTGTATGACTTCAGTACAGTAACCCTGGCCAAGCAACAATAATATCATTAATTGTTTAATTTAATTGAAAGAGAAGGGTGGTTTTTTCCCTTAAAAGTTTCACTGAATTTCTTTGCCCAGTTTCTGCCTACATTTTCTAGTGCGTTGTTACGGGGTACTACTTGAAGATTTTGACGCTCCTACTTCTGATGTGGGAATGCAAAACAATGAAATATTCTGAGTCAATAAATGTGTAGCCATCAGCATTAGGTACCTAGAAAGCTATGTCACAGTGGAACATGGGAATGGCTGCTGTCTATTTTCCCTCATTTCTTAGCAGAGTACAGTTGGGTAAGCTGAAAAAAAAGGAACACGCTGTGCCAAAATATTCCTCACGAGTTATGAAAGGGAGAAGAATAACAGAAATGTGGTGATGGCTCATCAACCATATGGGCGCTTAGGTGAATGATGCTTTCAGAATGGAAAGCTGCTGCAGCGATGTTTTCTTCCCTTATTCAGCTTCCATTCATTTCATTCATTTCTACAGTATAGGAGTTTCGTTTTTAGCACTGCTCCCATAAAAGGCCCTCGGTAAAGAATAGATGGAGAGAACATGACATACAAAACATTATTGACAATGCTGCATAGTCTCTGAGCACACGGTCATAATACAGTGCTATGACAAAATATCAGTTTAGTATCTTCCTTCATAATTTCCCCAGGGCTTTTGAGATATCAGCCACTGACTGGACACTGCTGGAGGAATGACCAAAAAATGAAGACAAAGATGAACAGGGCAAGGATAATTGTCATTCAGATTTTGCAGGCAATGACCACTGGAATCTGCAAGAACACAGCAGAAGGGCTTCAAACAAGCAAAGTATTAAAATGGGGGAGGTCATGTTAAAGTTAGCTCAAGTTTCACTTAGAGTAAGGTTGACTATCTGACTTTGGAGATTCCGACCATCTAAAGGACTGGCCAGCAAAGTATCAACAAGGGATTTTGGGGAAGCATGCCATCTCTCTCACTCTTCTTTACTCTACAACCAGTCAATCTATTCCATCTCTTTATAGATACTTGATGCTTATAGGTTTGCACGATCATGTGCTATTTGCTGGAAGCAGGTGGAGTCTGAGAAGCAACATGGTTGTTTTGCCAATGGGCCAGCCTAACCAGAGTCAATCTTCTACTAGTGCTTTGGCCCAGTCACTTTCTCACACAAAAGGTAGAAGAAAGAAAGAAATACATGGAATAGTAACAGTGAGGCTATATATTTCCCAAGTAAGCATTCCAAGTCGAGTATTTGTAGGGATTGTCACTTCCTGTGCTGAGGGCGCAGTCTCATAGTGGACTGGGTACCCCTTGTACAAGCAAGGAGCTATCCATGTCGGTGGAGTGCTGATTCATTAATATTATATTTGTTGTCTGCTTATTTATAAAAGCAGTTATAGACTTGACATTCCCTATTGAATATCCAAAAAATAAAAATAAAAAAAAATCTACATTTGCTGTAAGTGAAAAATCTGGATATTATTACTAACTACACTAGCATGCTTATTTATTATTTTTTAAATCAAATTTAGAAACCCCCCGTTTTCCTCACAGAAGGACTCTTGTGTTTACTGCCTATTATTCAGAAAGGAACAAATTTGCTTCCACTGTGACAGATCTTTCTCAGATTGGTGGTGCAACATTCCAGTATATGTACATTGCTAGTTTATTGAGGTTATTTCTTAATTCCATGAACATCTTTTACATTTGCGTTGCATTTCTTGGTTGGTGTTCTTATTGTTTTGTTTTGTTTTTAAACCATAAAGCATGATTGTTCTTTTTTTTATGTGAGATTTATTTTGACTTTGTTGTAGAGGCTGCCAGGTATATGATGGCAAGACAGTAAAGTTAATTTCATCTATCTGCTATCCAGATGTCCAGTCCCTGGTTGTGACGGTCAGGGTCACATAACTGGGAAATATGCATCTCACCGTAGTGCATCCGGGTGCCCTCTTGCTACTAAAAGGCAAAAAGATGGGTACCTGAATGGCTCCCAGTTTTCTTGGAAGTCAGTGAAGACGGAAGGTATGTCGTGTCCAACCCCAGGATGTGATGGCTCTGGACATGTCAGTGGTAGCTTTCTTACACATAGGAGGTGAGTAATGGCATTATCTCTCAGTCTGTCTGTCTTTCTAGCCATCCATCATCCATCTGTCTATTATTCCTATGTGAAGTTTTAATAAGCATTAATCCTGTTGGTTATAGTATGCATGAATTATAATAATGTTTTAATACCTGTTATTTTGTGAGGTATAAGTTGATCAAGAGTTCCAGATAAGTTGATAAAAATTGCACAACTTTAAACCTGTGGTTCTTTCAGGAGATTTAATGCTGAATCTATCATCATAATAATATCCTACCCCTGGTATTGTTTACATATAAGAAACTGACAATAAATTTCCATATTGTGAGCTTTTCATCTGATACACTCTAATGTTTATTAAAATCCCATTCACTTCAACTAAGACACAGATTTATGAACAATAACATCTATACTCTTTTCCATTTTGAATTGAAAGTCCTATCTTCTTTGTAAAGCTGCTTCTGGGTGAATAGAAGCAAGAGAATCTGCTACGGAATGTGATTTTGCCCCCAATCTTTTCAAATGTACTCACTGAACAAAAGAATAGGATATTTAAGAATCCCTGTGTTTAGGAAGATGCTCAGGCTTGGGAAATTATTCATATTTTTCTTTTTTCTTTTAAAGGAACATAAGTCATTTCCAAGATAATCTGGAGTGAATTGGCAGCAGATTGTCGATCATTCTAAATCATAATTATTAGTACTTTCTTCTACACTCTATACAATTGTATAGAAAAGAACCCTACAAATATAAAATAAACAATAAAGAGTGTTTACACTCTATGTTCCCATCATGCTATCTTCTTTCAAAGTAAACAACATTGTTCAAATTGCAAAAAGAAAAATGCAGTAATAAGCAGAAAAAAATAAATTGGAGGTAAAGCAAAAGAAGAGAAATACTAAATAAATCTAGTTTATACCAGGATTATTCATTATACTTCTAAATATTTTCTATCCTTGCAAACCATTCTTGATCCATCCCACCCATACATCATTTCCTTTATTGCATTTTGTTCTCTAATCACCATTTCTTGATTCAGTTTTAACTTTCTCGGTCTTCCCTTTCCTCTCTACCCAGGCATTCTTCCTTTATGTGTTTGTTTTGTCACTTCAATCTTATTAGTTCACTATATTAACCACACCACCTTAGCATCCTTATTTTGTTCTGGTCATTCTTTTTTGTAGTTAACATTCATACATGCAGTGTCTAAATGCTTGATCCTACCCCTTCTCTCTTTACCACAGGCATCTCTTAAGCCATCTATGCTCACATCTCTAGAATCTAGTATTCTAGAATCTTTAGAATACTGTACTCCTTCCAGCATTCAGCTTCATCCAAAATAATTTCCTTACTTTTATTCTTGCTTTCATTCCCTCTACTGAAGGCATCTTTTTAGCTGTTTTCATCCACTCAACAAATGCTGCTTAATTTCCGTTAAAAGTAATCTGCATTTTTTCTGCTACTTTTATTCTTAAGTATTTATCATTTGATTACACTCTTTGCTTTGTCTATGTAGGTCACAATATATCTTTCTCTTATCTTCATATTTTGCAGCATTTTTGTATATGCGATTTTTTTCCCTCACCCACAACCTCTTTCAGCCAAGCATCTTTTTTCAACATGTCCTATCAGTTGCAACTCCACATGTTTCTTTGACAGTCTAAAACATAATTCTTGACTCTGTTCCAATATCCACCCCATTCTTCCCTTCAGCCATTTCCCAGTCATTCAGTCTGGAGATTAATCTATTACTTTTGGCCCAGCGGTTAAGGAATCAGGTTAGTCCCACGTTGGACTTAAAGGCCAGCTGTGTGATTTTGGGCTATATTACTTTCTCCCTCAGCCCAACCCACCTTATAGGGTTATTGATGGGAAAGTAGGAGGAGGGAAATATATTAGGTATGTTCTCTGCTGTGAGTTATTTATAAAAATAATAAAGGGAGAATATAAATAAATAAATAAAATATATGCCTTGTACTGTATGTTTCCTTTTCTATAGTCTTCTTTCAGATTTGTTCTTTCAATTTTCTTCTGTGTTCGATTTTAACCAAGATCCACCTTAAAACTACCAATAAATAGTCCATTCCATGTTCTGAACCTCTCATCACATTTATATCTTGATTAATTCTCTTAATCTTTTAGTTTTTAGATTCATATATGTACAGATCTTTTACTAAGCAAATAGACACAACAAATGGTGTTCCATATTTACTGAACTATATGCCTTTGTTTATTAGTTAAAATGTAAATTTCTGTTGTATTGGTCCAAAAATGTACTAGACATTTTCAGAACCAATCCAGTGTCGAAAGCAGTAGACTATATGTCCCTGCATTTAAACCAGTTAATTGGCCGGATGGTATTAAGGAAATGAAATCAAGTTATTATCAAGTGGGTAAAATAAGTATAAACTATATACACATCACTTCTTTAAGATAAGGATTAAGCTATTAATTCACATGCTTTGGAAATATATGATTTAGAGATAGTTTCAATAAGCCTACTATTAGTTTTATTTTTATGGCAAATATTTTTCTAATTATTGTTGGAGCAGACTATAGGTTACTTTGATCCTAGAAAAACTAAGAGGGTTGCAACAATTGATGGTTGGGAGCCTACAGGGAGAACAAAGAGTAAAAAATAATCCATATATCCCAGAAAAAAATAGTAAACTGTTTCCATGTCATTGCCCCCCCCCCCAAAAAAAAAACAACAGACGTTGAGGGTGATTTCATAGATCCTTCATGTTTTCATTTTTATTTAGACTAGGTTTATCTCATCTCAGAACATTATTGATGAACCTGGCTGCTTTTATTACATTTCACCGCTTGAAAATAAGGCATTTTTCCTATAACAGTAACTGTTATTCTAAGTACCAGATACATTTTAATGGCAAAATTATAGTAACATCAATATTTCAATTTTTATATTTCATTTTTATATCCTAGAATACCTATAAGTTAGCTTCCATGTAAGGAAGAATATAAAAATAGTGCATCAGATATCAGTGACCTGCGGTGAGCTTCATGGCCAGTGAGGCAAGTGTGAAAGCCCCACTGAAGCCCCGGCGCCACGTCCGCCATAGAGCGGGACTGGGACCTGCTCTATGGTGGACAGCGCTGGGACTTTAAAGTCCTGCCGCCAGGGTCTTGCCGCCACTTTAAAGCCCCGTCGCCGGGATGCGACAGGGCCCCGGCAGCAGGGCTTTAAAGTCCTGGCGCCGTCCGCCATAGAGCGGTCCCGCTCTATGGCGGACAGCACTGGGACTTTAAAGTCCTGCTGCCGGGGTCCTGCCTCCACTTTAAAGCCCTGCCGCCAGGGCCTGAGC